TGTGTTGCACTGCTAGGTCCCCAGGACAGCATCTCTCTCCCTCTGCTCTCAGCCTGCATCCTCCCACACAAAGTCTGCTTCGGCTCCCGCAGTTATAACCGGGGCATCACCGGGGTGCTGGCAGCATACCCCCCTCCCCTGAGAGCGTAACCATGTACCGGTGTCTGCGGCTGCCAGTCCACAGCACTAAATTCGGTCACTTCGCTTTATCGGGCTTCAAACAAAACATCGTCCGCATGTCATGGATCTTCTAATTTTGGGGATCTCATTTCAGGTTTTCCAGGAGGACTTGGAGGGGGAACCCACTGGTGAAATTTCTACTGGTAAATCGGGGGGAGGGGCAGATATTTGGCTTTGTCCTGTCCAATGCAACAGTGCCTTGGGGCTGAGGAGCATGAGACGGCTACCGGGCCAGCCATCGAACGCACAGCAGAGCCAAGCATCGCGTTAACGAGGAAACGGGGCAGAGAGGACCAGAGGCAGCGCAAGAACACAAGGCACCCGCTCAAACCGCCACAAGGCAGGCAGAAGGTCACCCCGAGTGCCCGCAAGCTCCTATACCTGCGGAAGTCCAGGAGGGTCCTACTAGATTCCGGAACGTTCTGGTTCAGCCAGGTCAGGAAGTGGAACTGTGTCACGGTGCGAGTCTCGTTTGTCTGCATGTTCTTAAGGTAGAAACTCCTCACGAGGAAGTCTTCACACCAAATGTGCTCTGATACAAGGTTCACCTTTAGTGGGGGGGGAATTCACAGAAGGAAAATTCTGATCATTAACTCTTATAATGAACTCTGCATAATGAATGAATATATCATTAATCACGCTGCGGTTCAGACACTTTGCCAGAAATTTAAGCCATTTTTAAAAGTGACGTGTTAAATGAGTCATTACAATAAATGAAAAGGGAGGGACATGTATGCAGGAACAGCAAAACAGCCTTAAAAACAAAAACAAAGAGAGCCTGGGGGGCTGTCAACGGCACCTCGTAAATGTGATAGAGGTTCGAGCCCTCGTCTGGCCAGTAATGGTAGCATTGCTTGACTCCGTTCTCCGTCAGGGGTGTCAGCGTCACGATAACCACACATCCGTTCTCCCAGACCATCTGCGGACGGAGACAAACAAGCCGAATTACACATATATCCTTCCAGACGATTGGAGGTAACTGACGTCTAACATGACACCCTTTGGTAATGGTTCTATCAATAGCCGAGGAGACTGGGGCGCTCTTTAGGCCGAACGGCCGCAGAGGAACCTCGAAACGCCGTGCTGCATCGACTGCCAGCGAAGCGCTCCATGAAGGAGTGACTCCGGCGTGGTTCGAACTTGCTTTCACAATTAACTCACACAACGTTACTCCCAGTCACATTACAGGGTTTCATTTTGAGAATTTCATGCACTCTTAGGTGTACGTGGGACTGCTGAGGTTGTCACAAATGCCAACTTTATGACATTAATAAAAAAGGCAGCGATGATCTGACGGGAAGCTTAATAGCCGGCACTGCAGCCCACGAGAAGCATTGCAGCCTGTGCAGGCCAAGCGATCCATTCTGAACTAATGGACCTTTAATTACATTTAAGTGTTCTGAACACATAAAACAGCTGTGTTTATTGGGAGAAAGTTACTGCAAAATAATGAATGAATGTTACAGACATGACATGAATGTACAGAACTGTAATTGCGATCATTAATGGTTCACATTGCGTAGTACATTGTCCAGTAAATTCATTGAATGCAATTGGAATAAAACCTTTTTAATTCATCTTAGACCAGGAAACGCTCCGGCCTGAACGCTCCGGAATGCTCCGGAAGCTCATCTAGCAGCTAAGATCTAGTGCCCAGCTGGGAGTTCTGTTACCTGCCAGAAATCCGCCACAGTGGAAGGCAGAGGTCCCTGCGTAGAGATGTATGCGGGGTTTCGGGGGTCGTGGTCCATCTGAGTGAGAAATGAAGAAGGTGGGCATGGCTGGATGTCGTCATGGAGACCGTTTAGGCCCGCCCTCGACTCCATGGCGACAGGCTCGCGGAGATTCTGAAGGGGCAAATCTGTGGTAGACGTACAGAACGGCGGCTGTTTCCAGAAACTTTCTCGGGGGATATTTACTGGAGACGTGTCCACGAATGACACAAAAAGCACCAGGGTTTGGTGTGATACCTGACCTCACACCATCAGCATCCCTACGTGGCTTAATCTCTCCCGAAAATGACAGCCCCGCTCAGTGTGTCTTAAGACGTTCTTACTTGCGACTGGTATGTAATAAAACCTCAGATGTCGCTGTTGAAACCTGCAGCAAGGTAACCGGAGTCCTCATTATCATTAGTTTCAAAGGCTCCAGTCAGAGTAGCCGTTTGCTGCAGAGTTTGTCTTCATCAGTCATGTGTCTGCAGCCTTCAAAAGAATGGAGTTGGGCAGAACTGGTCCTTGGATTGAACACGATGCTAAGAAAAGGAGGGAGGGAATCTGTATCCCTGTGTCCACCATGTGTCTCTTCCTCTCCTCATTTGCTCATGGACTTTCATTCCGGTAAATAACGGGAAAGGTTGGCTTTTGTTATGCTACAGTATTTATTGTTATTATGCTAGCTTGACTGATCCCTAATAAAAAGGCCTGGTAACACTTTACTTGCATTATAATGCATTATAACGCATTCATGAAGTATTATAAACATGGCTATTACTATTTATAAAAAGGCGTAATACATTATAACCATGTGTATTATGCATTATGAATGCTCTATGAAGCTCTCATCTATGATGCACTATAGATACCTTAATAATCGAGTCTAAAGCATCCTTAATGCTTATACAGACCATTATAATGCATTATAAAGGCATCTATAATGCACTATGAGGGCTGCTCTAAGTAAAGTGTTACTAAAGGCCCTTTGCTTGCTGGTTTTGGTGTGAACGGAAAGCAGAGCAATAGCCATTTCCCAATCGCTACAGACACAGCAGCTGTTAATTGGGGGGGGGGGTGCTATTAAACGATGCGTCGATGCCGTGAACCGCCAGTGCAGCAAGGCGTACTGAAAATGATAACATAGCAGATACCGCCCATGTTCCGCTATAGGTGAACGCCCACAGACTCATGAGGCACGGATAATGTTTCCACTGGACGGGTAATTAATGAGGAATGGCTGGAAACGTAATAATACCCCGCTGTAATTTCGTTAAATAATTAAACACTATAAAGTCTGCTAGTGTCTAATGCAAAAAATGACACATTTTTACAAATATGTAACGTTAAATGTATGCAGACAAGGGAAACGCAGCCGGGATCTGTGAGGGGGGGGACGCAGGCTGGAAGTGGGGAGGGGGGGTTATTCCATCTCATGAATACTAATGACTGGGCATTTAAGGCTAAGAAGTGTGTGGTTTTTTGTGCCGTTATTGGGATGAAGTAATCCAGAGTCACGCTCACACGCTTTGGCACAATCACGCAGATGCACGGCCACGCGCTCCGGCGTGACTGCGCAGCACACGCACTCCCACACTTAGTGCACCACGCATACGCACTGAAAACTTGGGCATGACTGCGCAGCACAGGCATAACCTAGTTATGGCTGCACAATACCAGTAACTCTGTTACTACTGCAATACAATAATAACTGGGTTATGGCTGAGTGATACTAACGGGGTTATGGCTGAGTGATACTAACGGGGTTATGGCTGAGTGATACTAACGGGGTTATGGCTGAGTGATACTAACCGGGTTATGGCTGAGTGATACTAACCGGGTCTGCATTACACCCTACATGAGAAAGTGAGCTGTTTCAGTTGAAAAGTATATTCCTGAGGGTTTATCAAACTCTCTCATTGCACAAGTGAGTCCCTGAGCTGACGGAAATAAAACAGTGCAAACACACGCAGCCTTTCCCCCAGCGGAAGATAAGAAATGGAGGTGGGGAGGGGGGGGGGCTGCCCTCCGTCCCGTCCGACGGTCTGAGCTTCATGCTGACAGATCAGGGCGCCTTTTAGGATAAAAACAGCGCAGGCTGGGGCGTTAAGGGGAGATGAGACACACTCCGGACACAGAGAACGCAGGGAACATTACGGCGTCCATCTCCGGCAGCGAGTTCTGGCGTCGCGGAGGGGGGGTCCCCGTGAGCGCTGGTGTGGGGGCTGTGCTCCGGCAAACGTCTAACACAGAGTGGAGCTGGCAGCTCCAGCATCTCGCTGCGAATAATCCGCAGGAGTCCTTGTTTTCATCCCCTGCCGCTTGTAAGCGAAGCAGCTAGTCTGGGCTTCTGGGGGGTGGGGGGTGGGGGGGGGCTTCTGTGTTTGAAATGCAGCCCCTCCGCTGCTCCTCTAATGGAGGCCCCCGCCATCTGCCCCCCCCGGGGAAATCACACGGCATGTCTGTCCCGGAGCAGAGGGAAACGCCCGCCTCCCTGCACCTTATAATCCCCGTCCGCGCGGAATGAAGGGGCGAGTGGCTCTTCCCGGAGAATCCGCCTGGAAAACGTGGCGTGAACCAGAAACATCACGCACACGGAAAAGTGCGGCGACGCGTGTGCGTGTATATCAGCACGCGAATGTGTACACACACACACACACGGATCTGTAATATATACAACCTCCTTTTATGTTGGGAAACAGACACACAAGCCAAACAATTATGATAAATGTATATATAAATGTTTTATATTCCATGCTGCTCTATTAGGAAGACACCTATATAAACACCCACAGAACACGGTGTATATGTTTGCGTATATACACTCTTCGGCAAAAACAGGGACAAACCCAAATTGCACAACATCTACATTTCGCCTATTTTCTTGCTCAGTAGTATGTACTTGTGTATGTGGATTGTGTTTATATTACATTGTGGGGACCAAATATCCCCCACAATGTGATAAAAATGTTTTTTTGATGTGGGGACCATTTTTCAGGTCCCCATAAAGATCTGTGAATACAATAAAAAAAAAAACAAACTCATACTCCCAGAAGTCTGATGTTTTGTTTGGTTACTCATGGTTAAGGTTAGGGCTGGGTGGGGGTTAGGGGTGTTCTGTTGGGATTAGAGTGTGTGCGTGTTTCTGTGTGTCTGCGTGTATATAAATAAATGCTGAAGGGTTACAGTTGAGGAATGAAGTCACAAACAGTTTCTTTTTTCCCCTAAATTGTGTGCACAGTTTAGCTTAATGCGCACACGAAAATGCTCGATCGAGCTCACGGAATCCCTAAAAGCGGGATTTACCGTTTTTTCGTCCTCTAAATTTGCTATTCTGAGCTCCGGAGTTAATTAATTGAACACGTTTTGCTTCTTTGTGCACTTGGGACTGCGGACATGTCACCCACACAGTTTGCGGGCGCGCGTTCGCTACGGTATCACCATAGGAAATGTATCCGCGTAAATCTCTGTGATGAGACGTCTCCCGTTCCAATTTGAAAATGGATTTCCGTATATGAGAAGTAGCCATACAAAGTTCTGTTGTTAAAATTAGGGGTTACAGTCAGATTCTATACTTTAATAACAAATAACATGCATATATCACTTATCTTTTTAATAATGCAAAATATGCCCTCCAGTCCAGATTGTTGTTATTCTGGCAGATTTGCCACATGTCCACACAAAGTATCGAACAATTCTATACTGGAAATTAGGGATTATGGTCATCTAATCCTTAATGTCGCACAAGGTAATAACCAGTATGTATGCATCTCTGAGCCTTTATCATAATGCAGAATGTCTCCCATTCCAGACTTGATCTCCTGTATTTTTTAAAGGGCATAAACTTCGCTTTGTGGTCATCTTGTTACCATTTACACATGTATGCACCGGATCCTAGCTTTGCAGGCACGAATAACCAAAACACGAGGACGACGTAATTAATTTGAGAGCTTGAAATAGCAAATTGCATGAAATAAAAATAAATTGGGCTGACATCTTAAGGGTTGCACGAGCTTATTTTATCATTCTATGGGCACGTTAAGCTAAATTGTGTACATGATTTAGTGTATTATGCACACAAAATAAAAAAAAAAAGTTTGTGGCCCCTTCAAATGAGGCGTATAAGTATACAGTGTTTGTGTAAAATTATATGGTTACATAATGCTATCCATATCAATTTATTTTATACTGTGTAGATTTGTAAAAGGCAGTTATGGTGGGAATTTGATTTTCGAAATTTAAAATGTCCATTGTTTTATGGTTTAGTAAGAATACTCAGAAGATAATGAAAATTCAACTGTAAATATAGTTCTGAGCCACAGGGCGCGCACGTGCGTGTGTGCATGCGTGTGCGTGTGCGTGTGCGTGTGCGCGTGCGTGCACAGTATATATATTTGTATACACTCACGATGGGGCTGGCGTTGATGTAGTCTGAGCCTCCCTGGTTGTTCTCTGCCTTCAGGGTGATTCGCGAGTGATCGTCTGGAACACAGAGGTGTATGTGTGTGTTATGGGAGGAAACCCACACACGGACGGGGAGAACACGGGAACGGCACGTGTGCACGCCGCGGGGTTGCCATGGAGATGAGACGCACAGGCCACCACGGTGCCGGAGCGGTTCTTCTTGCTGTTGCTGTCCCTCTGGCCGACGGTGCAGGCGTTGGGCTCCGCCTGGTAGGCGCACAACGCCTCCCACTCCTTCTCCAAGCGGTTCTTGTTCTTCAGATGGTCCTCCATGTAGGACTGTGGAGACAGACACCGACCTTTCAGTACAGCGGGGGCGTGGCTGGCAGGGCACACAGGATTATGGGAATGGCGGCTTTCTGTATCAGTGGCGTTGCGAGAGAGTGTGTCTGTGTGTGTGTGTGTGTGTGGGTGTCTGACACACAGAGGGGGGTTACAAGCCTGTGGATGGGGTCTGAGCCATTTATAATACTCTCCAGCTGTGCCTAAATGGAATCCGGCAAATAGCATCAGCCCTGCAATTTCAATATAAAAAAAAAAAAATGACTGAAGCTGATGGCTAGATGGCCGTACCGGTGCCCTAACAGGGTCTGCCACAAACAAGACGGTCTGCGGAGGTATGTCTCAGGCCTCATCAAGTGCCCAAAACGCCTGGACCCCTGATTTCAAAATGTGACCAAAGCGCCCATGACTTCAAAATGTGACCATGTGACCAAAGCGCCCCTGACTTCAAAATGTGATCATGTGGCCAAAGCGCCCCTGACTTCAAAATGTGACCATGTGACCAAAGCGCCCCTGACTTCAAAATGTGATCATGTGACCAAAGCGCCCCTGACTTCAAAATGTGATCATGTGACCAAACTGCCCCTGACTTCAAAATGTGATCATGTGACCAAAGCGCCCCTGACTTCAAAATGTGATCATGTGACCAAACTGCCCCTGACTTCAAAATGGGACCATGTGACCAAACTGCCCCTGACTTCAAAATGTGACCATGTGACCAAAGCGCCTGTGACTTCAGAATGGGACCATGTGACCAAAGCGCCCCTGACTTCAAAATGTGACCATGTGACCCAGCTTCAGCCGTCAAAACGCTAAGTTAAAAGCTACGCAGCCGCCTTCGGACAGATGACGAGGGAGGTGTCGCGAGATCAATGAGAAAGTGAGGTGACCCCCCCATGTAGTCTATGTTTCATATTGACCACACCTCAACCTCGAGCTGACACCAAGGCCTATATATGGTAAAATATAGGGTAAAATATGCCATGCGAAGCTTCAGCTTGCCGTTTCTGTACCTATAATAGGGCAGCCCTCACTCTGCGAGTGTGATATTAATAAGGAAAAAGCACTTTTTTGGTTATGAAACCGCTGACTGTACAGCTCGACAGAGACAAGGTGAGGCTGGGTGCGGGATCGGGGTGTGTGAGTGTTGTCAGTGTGTGCGGTCGGGGGTGTGTTTATTGTGATAGTGTGACCACAGGAACGCGGTCACGGTGGCGTGGTCAGGACGGTGTGCCATCCGTGGGCTGTCGATATAAGTGTGTTCAGCCAGGGTTCTGCGGCATGCCTACTCAGCGCCGGGCACGGTCACCCCGTGGTTCAAGAGAGATCACGGTCCTCTCCGATTTCACATCTGACGACAGGGGTGGAAGCAGCAGCTTAATGGGACGTGAGCGTCTTACGCGCGGACTTAGCATTAGCGACACGTCCCTGAGCCGCGGGCCTGAGCGGCAGTTTCAGGAACCTGCTGCTGAAAAGCTGCTAATCAAAGGAAACTGGTGAGCCGCAATGGCTGCAGAGCCGTGGGGTTCCCGGGAACAAGGCAGGGGGCAGGCGGGTGTGCTGCACATGCTGATTGGACATCCGGAATGAGGCGGATCTGGGTCTCAGAGAGACTACGGAAAATAGACACGCAGACAGCAGACGGAGTCAGAGAGACTCACGCAGCATTCCGCTCCAGAGACGCTCCGCTCTGATTCCTAGGCACACCTGATGTTCTGCCCTCTCTCCCCCTCATGTCACTCGGCGCCAAACGTCGCGGACCTTCTGTTTTAACACGCAGTGACACCGGGGGCTCTGTTATTACCCTGTCCAGCTAGCCGGACACCCAGCGAAGACTCAGCCAACAGTAAAATTACACTTTTATGCTGTGATGGGTTTAGAAAATGCCTGTCTGTCTAGGCTAATTCTCACAAACATTTCTATCTGTATTACTATAACTGTGATAGCTAGCTGTATAATTATACAGCACCACACCTTGTCACAGTAAATTAGAAAATTTTTAGGATTTGCTCCTTGAAGGACTCGTGTGTGTGTGTGTGTGTGTGTATATATATATATAAAAAATTAGGGGTCCCATTACTCAGAGGACGGCTCTAATGGCATTAAGTCATTGTGGGCATGGTCATGTGATCTCGCGCACCGATCGTGCCAGGGGGCTCCCAGAGCGCCAACGGCGACTGCTCCCAGTCCGACGTCCAGGGAAGGAAGATGCCCCCCCCCCCCCCCCACCTCCAACAGAGAAGGGACATGGGCGTGCCTCCCCCCAGCTCCCCAATACAGTGACCCCCCCCCCAACCTGCCCACGCGGCTAATCCTCACACTCAGGGAGGCGTCTCAGTGCATTCAGCATAGGCCCACCTGGGGAGACAGGCGCGAGACAGACGCCCGTATCTCCGGAGGCCGGCATCGAGGACCCCTTGCCCGCCGCGCAGCTTATCTGGCACTTTGGACCTCGACTGCCCTCCTGGCGCGTCGCTAATGCCAAATTAATGGGGTTTCGTGACGAGTAAAGGGATTACCGGCAGGCCAATCAGGAGATGGCGGGATCGCTGCGTCTCCAACGGACAGTATTTAATCCGCCCCCCCACCCCCTTTCCGCTCACGGCTGCCAAGACGTGCCCGTGGAAGCCCGGGAGGGCCCGCTCGGACCGGACAGCAGATTCACTCTCACGGTTCTGTGGTCGCCGTGGAGATCCGAAGAGATATTTCAGGAGCCAGAATACGGAGGCAGATAGAGCTGAGGAGAACCGGCGGAACAGTCAAGCGCTTCCTCACAACTATCACATGTGTGCTGGTATCAAACTGGTATTCATCACAAAATCAAGACCCAATCTCCACGCAGCCTGCACCGCAAATCTATAAGCCGCACACAGATCAGGTATCTATATTTTTGTGGGGACTCTCCATTCATTCCTATGGGCATAACCCTAACCCCAGCGATCCGGCAATGACGACCTTAACCCCTACCCAGCCCTAACCTTAACCATAAGTGCCTGAACAAAATATGAGACTTTTAGCATTTTTAGTTTTTTGATTGCAGTCACGGATGTTTATAAAACTGAGTTTCGCTTTGTGGGGACTGAAAAAAGCGGCCCCCACAACACCAGAATGACAGGTGTTTATCACATTGTGAGGGCATGACCAGACACACACACACACACACACACTCACACAGAATGTATATACAGTGAGAGCAGCACTAAAAGGGAGAGAACGAAAGACAGAGAGAAAGTTAATCCTCTTAAAACAAACTAATTCTCAGTAAGCCCTGACGTGAACTCAGGTTACTCTCAGTGACACGGGGCGCAGGGAAGCCGCGCTGTAAACAGAGCGGGTCGCTCCCTAATGTGATTTCGGCGCAGGGGTCACCTGTGGCGTGCCCCCCTTTTTATACTTAATGTGTCCCTTCTTTGAGTTTCAGCCAATAAGAGGAAGTAAAACAAGCCAAGTGTCATAAACACCGGCTCATGTCGGCTGACGTTTTCCGCGTCCCTGTCTGCTCTGACGCAGGGAAGGACGCCGGCTTATCCAGAACGTTCTACACAAGGACTGTTCTAAGTGACTGTCCATACGCGTTTAGAAAGGGTCATAATCTGGCTATTAATGAACGCACTTTTTTGGGGGCTTGAACACTCGGCGGGGTGTGTGTGTTTGTTCATATACAGATTTGTGACTCTTGAGAATGTTCTGACCTCGATGATCATCACGCACACAGCAGTCCCACTCCAGCTGTATTGTGGGAAATTTCAACCATATCCATAATCGAGAGGGAAGGGGGTCGGATTTAACTGCACTTGAGGACTCAAGTCTTGCAATTAGCGGAGCTCTGCAGATGGTTCGTTAATCGGTAATTATGATCCCGGTCAGCTGATGAGTCTTTCTAAATGTGATCGGAAAATATGCTGCTTTGGGGGGGTCGAGCGTTTGGGGGTAAGGGGAAGACAGCTTGATGTTGCTTGTAAAAGAGCAGATGTTAATTATCAGTGGGCGGGGACATAATCTTTCACTCCGAATTGTCATTGGTTCATCCACAGACTGTCCAATCGGAACCGGAGGACACCAGAAAAGACCCTGAGGGAGAAGGACAACACGATGGAGCTGTCCAGAGGCATCTACAGTGCGTCCCGAACTCCATTTACATCAGCAAGGGAGGAGGGAAAACCGACCAATCAGCTCATCACTGGTAGATGCCGTACGGGGATGCTGTACAACATCCACGAGACAGATGGAGATGGATACAAAACGATGAAGAGGAAGAGAAGGGGAAGAGAAGGGGAGGAAGAGAATGAGCAGGGAGATGGGCGAGAGAGGGAGAGGGTCCCCCGACCACCCACACCCACAGAAACTCCGCCCCCCCACAGTGGACCGGCTCACACACGGTGATCAGTGTGAAAACCCCCGTGCGGTAAATATGAGCAGGCATGGCTGGGGGGGGGGGGGCTGTGCCTCAAACCCACTGTGACATCATGCGCTGGCATGCGTGCCGAAAGCCAGAGATCCCTCACGCCTAGTCAGCCGCTGGGGGGGGCGGGGCGGTTGGAAACAGAGACGTAAGCGGTGCAGGTGACGCATCAGATAACAGCCCCCCCACCCCGAAACGATTTGGCCTGGTGGGGGCTCTATCACTGAGATCATGCAGAAGCATCGCAGCTCTATAAATCCACCGTGGACGTGAACAAACAAACTGGAAGGTATCTGGCATTCCGTGCCCCCCCCCCCCCCCCCCCCCCCCCCCCCTTGCCAAAGAGTGAGATGTCATCAATAATATGGAAAATATAAATTGGAGGGAAGCCGGCAAAATAACGGAAGAGTGATCAAGTGGTAGTCGATGAGGGAATCGTATTTCACTTGGGAAAGGTCATTCTCTCCTGTCGTCAGGGAAACGAAGGTGGGAATGGAGGGATGATGTAATGGGGGCTGTGTGTGTGTGTGTGTGTGTGTGTGGGACAGCGTGGATCCAGAAAAGGGGCGGGGACTCACCAGGATCATGTGACCGGTGGAGATATCCATGTTTGACTGCACAGGCTCTTCACACCAGGAGGAAGTGCTGCTGCGGGCCGAGGGGCTGGGAATGGGCCCGTCGCTGAACTGCGACGACACGCTGTTGATGCGGGACCCGTGTGCCGGCTCGGGCCGCTCCGTCTTCACCGCCATCCTCTGCCGACACAGCTCCTGTGGAGCGCATTGCATCGTGGGAAGGGCGCTCTCAGACCGCCCCGCCTCGCAGACGCTCGGCGCCTGCCCTGCGGCGTTTAGCCTTCTGAACAAACACGCAGTGCACCTGAAGGTTCCCCCACGTGGCACAGGATAAACAGCCCGGCGTGGGGCTGTCTGAGCAGGGCCCTGCGTGGCTCTACCAGGCAGGCGTGGGCTGCGTCATTCGACAAAATAAACCAAACGCTCTGTGTATTCTTCTGCTTTTGCAAAATGCACCGACAAACCATACTGCCTGGTGGCGTGTCGCTCGGAGATCTACGTCCAGAAGGTTGTTGGTTCAAATCCCCCCCCCACTCCTGTGTATAATAAGGTATAACAGTTTCTTAAAAAAAAAAAAAAATAGCTGTGCCATGAAGTCTGTTCATTACGCTTTACAGCATCATCCATCTCTCTTACCCTCCGCGACACCGATACAGAATCCGGCTGTTTACCTCGGCTAGCGATTAGCACATTAGCGATTAGCGCATTAGCAATTAGCACACACGCTCACGCAAGCATACCCACGCAGACTGACACACACGCAAACACGCACACTCACAGTACATTTATAGAAAACAATAAACAGCCCTGAGCAAAACAGTTTAATATAATAATATTCATGTCCACATCTGACGACAGTAAAATGCAATAAAGTCAGACAGCATGGCCGTGACATCTCCCATCGTGACAGCGCCACACCATTAACGAGCATCGGCAGATCTCACATTCATCCGTCACGAGAGCTACCCCCCCCCCCCCAAAACGACGCCACTCTGCCGCATAACGTCTTTATGGGCCGTCCTGCTAATTCTCTCGCTGCTTTCGCGTCTGCTCGTAAATGTCACCAGTTTTGGAGTCGTCCCCGTCTGCATTCCTTATGAGTCATCAACTCCGCACTGAAATGCTGTTTTACAAGAAACTTTTCCCAAGAAAACGGATCCATCTGTATCACTCATATTTATACAGAGTGTATATACAGCCCTGCAATTCAGCACTTAATGACAGCACTGAATTTCCCCACGAAGATTAATACAGTTTATCTAAAGAAAATGGATGGATGTACTTCAAATGTTAGCAAATCGACGGGTGCCAGGCAGGTGAAGGAATAAAAATGAAATGGATGACAGAACTCTCAGTAATAATCGCTGTCATTAATGACCCGCTGTCACTAATGACCTTATGTTCCTGTCCCTTCTTCTTCGACAGCAGTTGCGCAGAAGAAAAATGACTCAGGTGTACCAGCGAGCAGCCTATTACCTAATCTGCTGGCTTGGCCTCGCAGGTGAAAGGCAGACAGACATACAGACACATGGGAGAAGGACAGAGAAACACAGACAGGCAGCATCCATTAATTTGGAGCAGGACCCCTGGGTCTCGGCTGCGTTTTACTTAGCAGATGTGACTCCTACACAGGAAATCACTTACGCCTTCCCTGGGCCCTGAGGGAATCACCCAAGCGACCCCAGCCAATGGGTGATCCCCTGGCGTCGGCCAATCACGATGCAGACTGGCACCTGGGGGCGGGGCCAGCCGCGGTAAGAGGCCAGCCAGCACAGCCCTCACGCACCTCTCCTTAGCCTCAGATCGAAGTGGGTGCAGGGGGGTTGGGGGTCAGCTGCAACTCTGGATCCGCCCCCCCATGGGGTTTCTCCTTTAAGTGCCGGGACGTGATGCGGCCGCCGGCCGGCGCATTTTACACGAGTCACAGGCATCTGGAAGCGAGGCTTCTGCCAATTAGACGGACATTCGGGGGTCACCGAGAGCGTGTGCTTCTGTTAGGGTCTCCGAGTGTAGGCGCCGTGGGGGGGGCGGGTGAGGGCGGCCCGCTCCGGCGCCCCCTGCAGTGCCTGCAGATCAAAGGTCAGCAGCCTCAGCCAATAGCCTCGCACACCAAATCATCTCCTGTTTTTGGATTGGCGTGGGTGGGGGAAGGGGGGGGGACTGCCTCCGGAGCACCTGCTGGAAAACATGTCTGGGGGGGTGGTGGTACTACACTGTTGTAACGCCTCCCTGACTGAATCTTTGATACTTCTAAAAAAAAAAAAAAAAGAAAAGAAAAGAATAGTTCCTCTGGAGTGAAATCTACTCTCCAAAAAAGAAAAGAATTAAAAGAAAAATCAGCGTTCAAGGTCAGCTTCAAACTGAATAAGAAAGGCTTGTAGATGTCGAGCGGGAGCCTCGTGAAGGGCGACGACATCCATCTCTATTTATGGCCTATTGATTGCTGACCGTGTGCAGTTAAGCGGCATATATGGATGTCTAATGTGTGTGGGATTATTGTACCTCAGCCTGTTATAGGGCTCTTACACAAGGTGAATTGTAATGCACTCATGCGTCGGGGACGGGGTACTAAATGGGGACCGTCCATTCATTTCTATGGGAAAATCCCTAATCCCAATCACGACCCCCTGAACCCCTACCCATCCCTAACCTTAACCATAAGTAACCAACCCAAATACAAGACTTTTTTTGATTGCATTCACAGATTTTTATAAAACTGAGGTTATCCAAATGGGGACAATTTGGTCCTCAGATGTGATCTATGCAAACCCACACGCACACACACAGTCATGTGATCATATCTTTATGGGGACCGCTCATTCATTTCCATGGGAAAAATGCTAATGCTAACTATAACAACCTTGACTCCTACCCAGCCCTAACCATAACCATAAGTAACCAAACAAAACACAAGAGTTTTTGCATTTTTTAGTTTTTTCATTGCAGTCATGGATTTTTATTTAATTGAGTTCTCCCTTATGGGGACCAGGAAAAAAAAAACGGGTATTCATTACATTGTGGGGACATTGTGTCCCCATAAGGTAAGGTGTACCCGCCTGCGCACACAAACACACACACACACAGACACGCACACACACAGAGCAGGATTCAAACCCACAACCCTATTGGTGCAGAGCTGTCCACCACACCACTCTACCATTAACAATCAAATATTTTTTATCAGACCAAATACAATCACATCATCATACACATATAATAAATCATTTAATATTTATAAACAAATAAATATTACTTTCCCATTTATATTTTCTTTGACAAGTATCACATCAGAAGTGCTACACTTTAGATTGAATTTCAGACCTCAAATAACACTGAAATTAACCAAGCTGGAATTTATCTGAAATGAAAGTCTGACACTCTGAAATATTAATGTTTTTACAGCCCCGCTGTTCAAACACACACGCACAGTTGGAAGACAGCTGAATTTCTGAGACATTCCCAATTCCCTAAATGGTTTGTGTGTGATTGGTTTTTTCCAGGCCCCCCCCCCTAGCCCTTCCAGCAGCACTAAGATGGGATTTTTACTCCCCAGTTTAATGTCGTTATCCAGTAAGGAACAACACTTTTATTCCAGCGTCCACCCAGTACTTGAGCTTCCTGAAGCGGGTTCGAGGTTCACCGGGACCCTGGACTGCATAATGGTTGCATGTTGGATGGATGGATGACAATAAGGCCACACACACACACACACACGCACACACACACACACACACACGAATACCTGTAAATGTGTGTCTGCACACAGGCTGTACAGCACTGCAGCACAGTAAGCATCTGAGTCAGTAGGGCTTGCTGTTCCTCCCTGTGCTTGACCTCACTTCACAGCCCAACAGCGACCCCAGTGAAACTCGACATACACCCCCCCCCCCCAGTGGTGAGCCGATGGCCCCCCCAGTCCTCAAACCGCTCTGTCGGTAGCCTACTTTCTGTGCCTGACTGCGCGTGGGGTTACGCCGCTGGTGAGGGACACACTGTCTCACCACACCTCAACATCTCACAGCTCCTGACAGCGATGTCATGACTGGACACATGCAGCAGAACGGGCTATAAGCCCCCCCCCCCACACGCGTGTAAGTGAGGGCTCCCTGTCCCTAACCCAGCACCCCCTTCGGACATCGCTTCCGCAAAGGACCTCAGCTGTCACTCAGGACCCTGGGACCACACCTATGCTCCTTGGCTAGCTGTGGCCTTTTCTGCTAAACACCGCACCCCCCTGCCTAAAATGAGGCGAACTGCTTTTTTGAAATGTAATGAAATGCCAAAAATATCCGTGGCTCTTTGCAGGAAAGGAAAGCTTTGCTCAAAGCTTCATGTCTTTCAGCAGGACAAATTCCAAGGTAAACACCTGGACATATATTCTCTATGCCTTAATGTGCTAAATGGAGAAAAAGCCTCAACATACTGCATCCCCAAATCTCTCCTTGAAACTCTCCTTTTACACCTTATCCTCCTCACCTACACACAACCCCAGTTCATCTTACTTTAACACACTGGCTGTTCATTACATCAACACGCTTTCTCTACCTCACCTTAGCACACCCCCTTTACTATCTGAACATACCTATAGTATCCCACCTTAACACACCCCCTTTACTATCTGAACATACCTATAGTATCCCACCTTAACACACCCCCTTTACTATCTGAACATACCTATAGTATCCCACCTTAACACACCCCCTTTACTATCTGAACATACCTATAGTATCCCACCTTAACCTACCCCCTTTACTATCTGAACACATCTCCTGTATCCCACCTTAACATACCCCTTTACTATCTGAAAAACGCCCCAGGCATCCAACCTTAACACACTGCTTTAGTATCTGAACACACCTCCTGTATCCCACCTTAACACACCCCTTTTCTATCTAAACACAGCTCCTGTATCCTACCTGAACACACGTCCTGTATCCCACCTTAACACACCCCTTTTCTATCTAAACACAGCTCCTGTATCCTACCTGAACACACCTCCTGTATCCCACCTTAACATACCCCTTTACTATCTGAACACACCTCCTGTATCCCACCTTAACACACCCCTTTTCTATCTATACACAGCTCCTTTATCCTACCTGAACACACCTCCTGTATCCCACCTTAACATACCCCTTTACTATCTGAACACACCTCCTGTATCCCACCTTAACATACCCCTTTACTATCTGAAC